ATTTTCGCCATGTCAGGTGTCACTGTTGGCGATGTCAAAGCATAGTCGTCTTCATAGAGGACCAATGTCACTGCATTGCTGTGTATGTAAGGCCATTCTTATGCGCACGTCGTGCCCTCATTCTCTGGGCGCGCGCCCGAAAAAGAAAGGGGGAGCAGCGTTCATACTGAAATTCGACCCATTTCGCGGCGCGTCGTGTTGCAAATTTTGGCAGACATGATCATGAACGCCTCATCTACGCGTTGCGCTTGTCAGTTCAAAATTGTCAAACCTGGTGAGTGGCCCTTTAAAAGTAGCCAATCTGGTTAAAATACCCAAATCTGGCAAGCCTGCTGTCTGACACTGGTGTAGTATATATTGAGCAAATCTCTCAAACTCCGCTCAAGTTTGGCAGATTCTAAATATTTTTGCGGCAGTCAGCTCATGAGGCAGTAAACTCTTTTCTTTTTATGCTGTTCACAAACACACTGTTCCATCCATGGTTAAGAAGGAGAAGGATAGTTTTTTTTCTCCGCATGGCTTTCATTATTGAATGCGCTTCGAAAAGGCTCAATTGGCGAAGTGGAAAACAAAAAATGATTACCCCCGGATTTAATGCAAGCGCGTTTCGTATGTTCACATTCCGGCATGTTTGTGGCTCATTTTATCGATTTAACAAGCAGCAGCAAGTCGGGGGATGCCGAGTTTTGGTTGTACTTTGACTCTGAGAGCAACGACGATCTAAAGCAGCCTGGAACATCAGTCAGCTTCGCTTTCTACTTCAGGCTGTGTCAGTTTGTGTTCGAGCACCAGCCTGCCAAAATGGAGACTTATAGAAACTCTAAGAAATGCAATGTGACAAGAAAACTAAGTAGAAAACAAGAGTTTACTGCAAGAAAAGGGACGTTATGCTATGATTTTACATCAAGGAACTGCTTTGCCGCATGACATGACCAATTGTGGTACTCGTACCTCATTATAACTAAGTTGCATCTTGCATGAAAATAAGTTTGTTATATCTGAAAACTCGTTATAAAGGTATATTCATAACACTATATATATTGCAAAATTATTCTTAATTTACCTTGTTATAACTGATAATTTATTATATCCAGATTCATTATATCAAGGTTTGAGCGTACTTGCAGTAAGACTTTTTTGAAGAAAGTCCTGTTCAGTGGAAAAGTTTCAATTTTTCAGTGATGGTGCCTATCAGACGGTACTACATTTTGCATACTATCTCATATTTCTTATGTTTTTTTTATCGTTAGAAAAGGGGGCAAGTCTTTACAAGCAATATTCAGTTCTGTTCTGTAATTTCAAATTTTTGCAACCTATATTGCTCGCATAACATACATCTCGTTAGTGACACTTACATGTGTGAAATTCAATTATTCTGCTTTTCGTGTGTATCTTACATAAAATATTAGGTGCCGTAGTTCCTTCAGTAAAAATTATGTACTGGTGTAATCCACAAAGAAGACCCATTTTTTCTGCAGTGCAAAAACACCTAATGAAATCATTTTATAATTTCTCGGAAATGTACTGTAGGGCCCCTTCAGAATTGTGCATAGAAAATTTTTCATTCTGCCTAATTGCACCCTCTTTTTAAAATTCCTGCTTTTTGCACTGCTAAACCAATAGTTTTAACTAATAATTTTACTAACAGCAATAAAAAAATGGTCCATCTTGAAATGCTTGTGCAGGCGCACGGGAGCTCGGAAGAATACACAAATGTGCACCCATTTGCACCCATTTGTGTTCTTTTCTGCGTTCCGGTGTGCCTGCGCAAACATTTCAAGATGGATTTGTTCCAACTAGGCCGAATAGAGGTTTTTCTTTAAAAAATGGCATAAGCTAATATACGTAATAAAAAAAAAAACGTGAACCCCTTCAACTTGAAACAAATGCTGACTATTCATTGAAGAAAATAATGCTGAATTTTTCTTATGTCCAAGTGTGCGTTATGTCCAAGTCTTATGTTGAGAGATATTTATCGCTAATGTTTACTACAAATTCTAAGTGATCATGATTTGCTATAACAGTTTGTATCATATGGTCTTCAAATTATTTTACTGAATTAATTGTTGGTGTTGTTTACTGTTGTCCCTGCGCCTTCAGAAATGAGTTGTGGAATTCTAGCTAAGTTTGGCGAAAACACTACCTCGTATACTGTGTCTAGTGCATAATTGATTGATCGATATGTGGGGTTTAACGTCCCAAAACCACCGTATGATTATGAGAGACGCCGTAGTGGAGTTCGACCGCTATGGTTCTTTAACTTGCACCCAGATCTAAACGCACAGGCCTACCGCGTTTTCGCCTCCATTGAAAATGCAGCTGCCACAGCCGGGATTCGATCCCACGGATCAGCAGCCGAGTACCTTAGCCACTAGACCACTGCAGCAGGGCGTGTCTAGTGCATATTGCTTTATGAAAGCAGTCTTCAAGCTTTACGTCATTTCTTTGTTTCCCCTATTCTAGGAAGTTTACTATGTGGTGAATTTTGCAGCTATAAAAAAGTTTGACACTGCTGATTGATCATAGTGTTCAAACAAAGCTGAACGTACCTAATGCAAAGAATTCTATTTTTTGTCAAAAATAAATGAGCTTTTGTGAACCGAATAACGGCTGTGTTTTTTTATTGTAACGCATTCTAGCAGCTTACAAAGCAGTAAGTGATTGCTATGTTGCATTAGTATTCTGGATAAACTTTGCTCTTGTGGCTTGCATCATCTTGAGGGTAGCAAGCAGGGTGTCGCCAGCGATCCGGGAGGGAGGGTTACGGGGGGATAGTTTCTCCCCTCGTCGTGCACCCTCAAGAGCAAGCATATGCAATAGTCAAAACATAACGCATCAACTCCTTGCCTTCCTGCCCCCCCCCCCCCCCCCCTTCCCCGAAGAAAAAGATATTGTGGCACGGCCCCTGGCAGCAAGCTATATTTCAAGTCTTCAAAATCAGTCTGCCTCATTTTGAAGGGCAAACCTTGGCATGGTAATGTGAATGTGCATATTTAAGCTTCGTAGGTGACCTGTGTGCTGCTGCTGTAAAGCTCCGATGGCCACGCAGTGTGGCAAATTATTGCCTGGCACTCCAAGATCCTTTCCAGAATTTTTGCTGAAAACCTAATGTGCTTGTTCACGAAATTTTAATCACAGTATTTGTCCTCGAAACACGAAAGATGTTCATTAAAATGAAGAGTGAGAACTGTTCTGAGTGACGACACTGGGTTTCTGCCATTATAGACAAGCTTTTGCTTGCCTCAAGCCCTAGATCTACTTGTCCAGTGTAGTGAACATGCACGACCATGCACAACGCGGTTAAGCTGCGCTGGCGAAAAGTGGAGGACTTGTAATGTAGCGTCACGGCATAGCAGGTGCACCCGATGACATTTGGTGTGCTTCGCAAGCTTTGCATGGCTGGCACGAAAATAGAGCATGTTTCTTGGCTTATTTCACCTGCTTCACACGAGGGGCGCTAGACCATAATGCACTGTGCATGGCAGCGGCAGTTGGCAAAATAGCGGCAGGGGGATCGGGTTTGGTAATCGTAGCCGTGGCTTGCTTGACATTGATCGACGATCACATGATTGTGTGCCTGCTGGAAGAGATCACGTGTGTCTCCAGACCAGCAACAACATGGACTGCTGCGACACTAAGAGAAAAAGAAACTCTTAGGAAGCTTACTTCGGAATGCTCTCTCGTATGTACAGTGTCAATTTTTATGAAAGGGAAGCCGGCGACGTGTGGCCTGCGCACTCCAGCAGCTGCTGGCAGCGCGTTCAAGCAGGAGCAAGAGCAACCACAGTGTCTTTTCGCATATCTCTCAAAGAGCAAAACAACCATTCATTGCTGATATAAAACCAGCGGCAATATTGCAACCCCCTCTCCCTTGAAGACGCTTGCGAGAGCCAGTAATCGCCTGGAAGGAGGGGGGGGGTGAAATCTTGCCGTTCTATATTAGTAATGAATGATTGCTTTGCTCGCCGCGAGATCACGCAAAGAGACTGTGATTGCTCTCACTTCCATTTGAACACGCTGCCAGCAGCTGCTGAAGCGCGCAGGCCACGCATCGCCGGGTTCCCTTTCATAAAAATTGACACTGTACATATATGATCATCTTTCGTTCCTAATGCAACCTATCTAGCTATTTTCTTAAAGCAATGATTGTGATTTCGATGCAAAGTCAAACAGTGCACAGAGAGGGAAAAAACATGTCCACCAAGCACGTGTTCAGAGAAGCAGAGAGCGAGAAAATTGTGTACATGTCAACTGAAGAACGCGGAGCCGTGGACACATTTGATGAAGAGAGTGCACCACTCTGATGCGGTTCAACCATGTCATGGTGCGCACTCTGGTTTCTAAAGTGACAAATTCACCACCGTCGCTTGTGCACATACCCAGCACATACGACCTGATGTGCCGAACACACCAGACTATATCTAGGCCTTCATTCATATCCACCGTGTAGTGGGCGCAAATTTTCCCACTTATTTGAAGTGACAGATTGGTGGAAATATTTACAGTTTAGGTTATCCTGCCCTGCATTTTCTCATGTGTTAGTTTCTCTAGTAGTCTTGCAGGCCCAGTAAATTTGGTTAATTTTTTTATCTTGTATTTGGTGCTTCTACATGAAACACAGACTTCAAAGACGAGAGCAGAGCATTTCTCATGGGTACAGAATTGTGAGAAGTTATTAGTGCAGATGTCGAAAAGAGTGATTGTTATCCTCCTCATAAATTACCAACTATATACTTGTAAGCACATAAGTTGGTGCCTATGGTGTTCTGCGCAAAGTTGGAGGTTCGCTTCCTGTTTATGATAGCTGCAGCTGAGTAGTAGGAGCAATGTAGAAATGTTTTTATACTGAACTTTGGCTGCATATATCAGGAAGTTGAAACCAATCTAGATATTTTCATTACAGCATTTATCTCATTGCCCCTTTGTTTCATTAGAATCATAAATTTGCATTCATCTATGATTCTTAATTTCTCAACTGTAATGTGCATAATTCCTCACAGGCTTCTACAAGCCTTTGCTTGGATCTGGCATATGCAATGCCTGCTCTCATGGAAGCTACACCTTGCTGAAAGGCTCTACAGAATGTACAGTTTGTCCAGCTGGCTTCTACTGCTCGGTAAGTTATGTGAGCAGTGTGTTGTTTTTTAAACCAAAGCCACTGCAAACTGCGACTGCATACTGGTAAGCACATAACGTTCAGTAGTGTACAGTAATGTTCTTCTTTGATTTTTCTTGACCTAAAATTTCGCATGTTTGATCTAGGTATGCACTGACTCTATACTGCTGTGAAATTATTCTGGAGTTGCAGTGGTCACCTGAGCTGCTTTGTAGTGCTTTTATATTATGAGTGCTTATACCTCTAAACCATTCAACCATTAGCCCTTTCAAAACATACTTTCATCCTAGACATAGCTTGTATAGCTGGTGATAGATTTTTTTATCATGATGTTCATAGCTCTGGTTACAATGCACCATGATAATTTAGAAAAAAATTATACATTTGATTGGAAGTCTGAACTATGAAATCGTGACAACTATTCACAGCAAAAAAAAAAAAAAAACATCATTTTCCAGTATTCGAACATGGCTACAATTAGAAACTGGAGGCCACCACTGAAATTCTGCAACATTGCCAGTTTGACAGTGAATGCTTCAACTACCCACGGGATGCTCCCAAAGTTTGTCAGACTTCTAAATTTTAGAACTACTTAGGAAGAAGCGCAAGTATATTTATTTATTTATTTATGATACCTTACAAGCTCAATGAGAGCATTGAGTAAGGGGGGGTACAAACTTCAAAGAGTAATAGGGCGGTCATCAATAACATGGAATACACAGAAAATAACACAACATCGTGACAAAGCGTGTCTAGTCACTGACACTCAAACAAATGTAATACGCGAATGTTTACCGATATGCAGAAAGCTTGAATAACAAGAAATTCAAGGTACATGAACGAAACACAATAAAGGAATTCGGAAGGTGTAGGTATAGAATTCAAGTGAGCAGCAACGGCGGTGCAACTGAGCAACAAAAACTGGGAGAATAACAAGAACTGGGAGAACAATGGCAATAACAAAAAAATCAAAGAGAAATCGGAAGGCCGAGGTTGTACAACATACACACGCATTTTCCAAACACACATACTGCTAGCCGTACGAAGTCGTTACCAATATAAATTGCAAGACAACGGTGGGTACAGCAAAAACTAAAGAGAACCAAAGAGAAGTGTGAAACTAGGTGAGTGGCACAGCTGCAGCTACAAACATCAGTGAAGTTAAAGCGATTAGTGCGATGAAAAATGATTACACACATGTTCGCAAAATGAATCTGGATCGGTGATGGAGGCGATGCAGTCGGGAAGATTGTTCCATAATGATATGGCCTTAGGAAGCGCTGATAAGTTGAATGCCTTCGTTTTGCCATAAATGCGAGTGAAACTAATGTGATTGTGCAGGCGTCTGGACATGTGCAATGGTGCTGTTAGGGGTAGCGTAGAACGTCTTGTGCTGTGAATATATTTATGCAGCAAACATAACAGTGCAACAGAGCGACGAAGGTGCAATGGCGAAATAGAATGTTCTTGTTTTAATGTTGTTACGCTGCAATGAGTGCTATAATTGCGAGATATAAACCGGGCTGCTCTGTTTTGTATGGACTCTAGCATAGTGGTTAGGTAATCTTGGAAAGGGGACCAGACTGAAGATGCAAATTCCAGCTGGGGGCGTACATAAGTGAAATAGGCCAGTTTACGGATGCTTGTTGGAGACTTTCGCAGATTACGACGGAGATAACCTAATGTTTTGAGGCTTTCATGATCGGCACACTAATGTGTGCCGACCATGAAAGATTGGGTGTTAGATTGACGCCTAAGTATTTGTAAGAAGAGCACTGCACTATTGTATCATTTTTAATAGAGTAGGAATAATTGGAGTTATTGTGTTTACAACTGAAGGTCATAGCACGGCACTTGGAAGAGTTAAGAGACATCTGCCACACGTCACACCAGTCACTAATTAGGTTAAGGTCTGTTTGAAGGGTAAGGTGGCCGCCATCATTGTTAATAGCTCGATATATTATGCAATCGTCAGCGAATAGTCTTATATTGGAAGATATATTATTTGGCAAATCATTTATGTAGCTGAGAAATTATAGAGGTCCGAGAACACTACCCTGTGGAACACCCGAGATGACATCAGAGGGAGTAGAGGCGTAGTTATTAACCGTAGTGAATTGTTTTCGAAAGGAAAGAAAATTGCGGATCCACGAAAGGGTCAAGGAATCGAGTCTAAGTGCAGATAATTTAGATATTAGGCGGCAATGGGCAACGCGGTCAAAGGCCTTTGAAAAATCGATGAATACGCAATCAGTTTGTTTATTTTCATTCATATTGAAATGGAGATCGGTTGTTAATTCAAACAATTGGGTGTCACACGAGAAGCCTTTCCGAAAGTCATGCTGGTGAGGAAAAAAGAAATTATTTGATTCGAGGTGGCGGCGAACATGGGAAGCGATAATATGCTCCAGCAATTTGCAGCAGATTGACGTAAGCGAGATGGGTCTATAATTATCAGGTGAATGTTTACCTCCTTTTTTATAAACGGGAACCACTTTACCCATGTGCCAATCATCTGGAAGTTGACCAGACATCAAGGACTGTTGAAAGATGAGAAGTAAGAATTTGCTCGATACGATTTTCGTGTTCTTTAGTATTTTTGTGTTAATGTTGTCGGGCCCTGATGAAGTAGATAGTTTAAGTTGGTCAATGAGGGAAGCAATACCTTCGACTGTAAGAGCTATTGGCTGCATGAACGCCCAGTCGTAATCTGCGATGAATGGTATGTTGGAATGGTCTTCTCTTGTGTATACTGAAGAAAAGAACCTGTTAAATGGGAATGAACAGTCACTATCTGAGAGGGGTTTGTCGTCATCACCACGTAACGAGATATGCTGGTGGTTGGTTTCTGGGGTTAACGATTGCCAAAACTTCCGAGGGTTTGATTTCAAAAGAGACAGGAGATCATGGGAAAAATATTTGTCTTTCGCATCCTTAATTGCAGAGCAGTAGCTTGCCGCACACTCGTCGTACTTTTTCCATGCAGCTTCAGTTTGCCCATTTTCGGCGTTATTGTACAACCGCTTTTTTTTGTTTCTGAGCCGACGGAGTGACTTAGTGAACCACGGGTTCGACCTGTCATTCGTTATGGTAACTATGGGAACAAACTTATCGACCAGCCCGCAAACCTTGTCCCGAAAGATACACCAGTTTTCGTTGACGGTGCGAGTATCGAACAAGGGCATCATCCCTTCAACAAGGAATACTTCAAGGTCTGAGTTAATTGCTGCGTAATCGGCCTTGTTATAATCTCGTATAATTTTTCTATCTTTACCTGTGTGGCTAAATGGCACTTCTATAGGAAAATGGAGTAACTTGTGGTCACTTAGACCACCCCGATAAGTGATTGGCCCGATAGTTTCAGGCACATTACTTAAAATTAGATCTAATAAATTAGATCCACGTGTAGGTGCGTCAACAGTTTGGAAGAAGTTAAAATCCAGAGTTAAATTTATAAATTCTACAGAAGAACGACTAGGTGAATACTTTCTACAAGTTCGAAAGTACAAGTTGCGCGAAGTGTTCCGTGAGCCACACCTATGCCTGTGACGACGTAGTAACGTAGATGTGATGGATACTGAAGCAGGTCACTATTGCTCAATAACGAATGCAAAAAGAAGCAACCAGTTATGCTTGCAGCCAACTTTTTCCCATTCCAAGATTGCGTCCACCATAGGTTGGCAAAAACTGTAGGGCTCCCTCGGATTCACTCTTGAAATATATTTTAACACTTTACGGCCCACTCGGACTCAGGCTCTCAAAAATTTTCATGAGACAGACTCACTTGGACTCGCACTCCCAAAACTTTTCTTTGACATTACTCACTCGGACTCAGACTCGCGAAAATATTACTCACCCGAACTCACTCAGACTGAGTCTGATCTGGGTTAGAATGAGTCTGATCTGAGTCTGAGTGAGTTGACTGATCAGTCTGTTTGTCCAGAATTAGCTCTCTCAATCATGGTGTCAGTGCTCTTTAACACCAATATCTCACGGAATCAGCGCTCTTTTCTTTAAAATTTTTTTAATTGTCTTTGCCTAAAGAGGCTGCAGGCTTGTACAAAAGGGAGCTTGGATATGTGCTGTACTAAATTCTAATGTGCAGCTCACTTGTAACAGCAGTGTATTTCCAATTTTGCTGTAATACTGGTTGGCTTCAGGCTCCTGCACTTTTTTTTTTCCAATTGGTTTACTGGTACTTTCAGTTTCTTTACCACAGCATGTGTTATGCACGTTCACCTACTATGGTAGTTTATCAGATGGGGTGTTGCGCTGTAAGCTTCAGGATGCAGGTTCAGGTCTGGTCAATGGCAGCTGCGTTTCAATGGTGGCCGAATGAGAGAACACCATTTCACTTGTGTAGAAATACAGGTCAAAAAAACCCAGGTAGTTAAATTTATTATGTAGTCTCCCATTACGGCATGCCTCATAATCCTACCCTGGTCTTGGCTCATAAAGCCCCATAAATTACCTATTTCATCTTCTGCATATTTCAGTATGAGTCTAGTTCTAACCAGAAAATTTATGGTGTCAGTTTTTCTACTACTTAGCTCCTAAAAAATGTTTTTGAGAGTGCTGTTTTGTTGCTTGAAACATGGCTTAGCTCTAAAATTCACTGTTTTTACTTACAAATGGCCAAAGAGCATAACAGTGTTTAAAAAATTCAGGAACTGATCAGTGTTATCATAGGTCAGCATACTCATAAGTACCAACTACCACTCACTCGTAACTTAATTTCCCACTGTCCTTTCACATGGTCAGAAGTAAGATCGGTGGTAAGTAAAGAATGTTATGGGCCAACGTGTGTATTCATGGAAGTCGGTGACAATGAGCTTGAGTAGACATGGGTATCAACATAATTGACTGTTGTCGTATGTTGTTGTGAGTATGTATGCAAATGAACGACTCAACAAGCCTTTTAAGAAAATAAAGTCGCATGATGTCAGTGGAAGTATATGCACGTGTGCATGAATGCTTCTAAATGTGAATGAGAATATTAA